TAACTCCTAAGCAACAGGAAGAAGAGCGTGACATTGTGAGAGATTATAAGGATGTATTTTATAATAAGCCAGATCACATTTGGTCTGTTAAGCAATCCATTCCGAGCATGGTAGGAATTTAGGTTGAAAACCATCCGCTTCTCTTCACCCTACTTCATAAAATAGACTTAAGTAGCCGAGGCTTTTAAAGATTTAAGGGCTTACACAAGTGAAAGTTTACATGGATAATTTACCTAATGACGAAGTCACAAACAGAGGGAGGAGCTGAGAGGAGACGTTAAGCACGTCTTAAACGTACGTTATAAAGCAGTGAGTGGCCATCGAAATGCAGAAGCCCTCTCGCACTTGAATTAATAAGAGACCTGTTACCTCAATCTGATTAAAACGAATATATATATTGTATATAGATACGAGACTTAAAATCCATCCAGCTGGGGTTATAATTGATGTTGTGTGTGAATGTCTGATTATGCAAATGAATGGAAGAACTTGTGAACTTGCTGGTTGAAACCCTGGAATGAAGGCCACGAAAGTTATTTCCTGATTAATTGTGTATGGATACACATATATAAAGCACTGTATATATATGTATAAATAATAGTGTGAACAGTATAAGATGTCAACATAAAGACGGTAAACTAGTTGTGTGATATATGTAAAGACAGTGAACTTATCAGTGTTCTACAAAAGGCTGTGAGTGGTAAAACAATCTAAAGAAGAATGTGGTAATACGCCTGAATTTTGGAGCCTGAGATAACATCAAGATCAAAAAGAAACAAAGCCGATGTTGAATACAATCAACATTGTTGAATGTACTCAGGAAAAGGGAGAGATGTGTTATGAAGTTAGGTGTAAGAAACGTCGGTTGAAGTTGAGAGGGGTAAGAAAGCAACTGACCTTTGGTCAGTCTCTAAGAAATTAGGGGATTACAGTACTCTAAGTCATTAGTAAATTATTGGAGTTTGCAGCCACCTTTCTAAATTCAAATGGTATGGAAACGACAAGATCTTCTACGGTTATAAAATGTTTTAATCCGACATATGGGAATCAAGTGCTAAGTCAGAAAGAAAGGATCTGTTGGGCGTGGGTTTGGAAAAAGAATGTAAAAGACAGAAGTTCGACTAAATGAAAAGTGAGAGGAGACAATGAGATATGAGAGAGAACGAATAAATCAAGAGAGATGAAAGAAGAAAGTAATATGCTGCCAGTTAGAAACAACACTTATTTCTAAATTTATGTGTTCATCATTAGTATAAGCAGCAATTTATTATGTTTACATTGGTACGTGTCAACTCCTGAAAGGAATAAGTACAACCAAAATAAAGTTGATGGACATAATAGGGGAAAGAGAAATGCGAAAATACCAAGATCGGGAAATTGACAGGTACATGGCCAAATGGGATTTGCTGTTCTTCCAGTTTCTTTGACTATCTCTCTCTTGAAAACATTGATTTTGAATTGTGGCAAAAAGCATATGAACCTTCATCAGCTTCAATCTTTTACTTGTTAGTTTTTTTAAGTATCTGAAGGTATGCCCAGCTCATTGTAATAGTTTTTTGGATCGAAGAGTTCTCTTTCGTAACCACAGTCTTGATTTTGATTGGCGTAGGCGTGGTTTTGAACCTAAACGCTCTGTTGGATGAGGTTGTCTATTTTCATGAAGAACAATGAAGGCTCAGTTTTTTAGATGTTCTATTCTTTGGTTCTACATCCTTTAACAATCTCGTTATACAAATTGACTTTCTCTATAAAGGTGGTGGCAACTCATATTTCTCCAACCCCACAGCTACCATGGCGACATTGCACAAATGAACGGTTGAAAAGTCGCTGGAGGTCAAATAAATAGATGGTAATCTTTACGACAACAAGAACAATACACACACACACAATTTTTGGTCAATATGAAAGTTCCATTCATATTTCAACGAAGCAATTAACGATGCACGTAAATTTTATATAAAACTGGATCAACTAAAATTTCCATTATTAAAGTCGTACGATAAAATTTATGATAAAGTTCCGAACTGTACAGCTAACTATATATATATTATTTCAACGTCTTTTTTCTTTTACTTTGTGAAGCACAAGTTACAACGTCATCCTCAGGAGTAACGTCGAAACATGTAGAGTCGTCAACTTTTTGAAGGCCATAGATAGGCCTA